TCAAGATACCCATTACAATAAACAAAAAGGAACCTGGCATTAAGTTTTTAATAATATTTCTCTTAGGCTGGAGAGCCAATGGCACCCACCAGATGTTTTCCAGGGGGCACTAATCAGGCAGGTATTTCCTGCTTTAATTCAGGCTACTATCCTGACAAGAACAGCCCAAGGGAAGAGAAGTGTCTCCCAGTACTAGAATTAATTATATATTCATTGTATCCCCTGAACAGCTGGCCTTGCCTTACACATGCAGTATTTCCAGCAGTGTTTGGCACGGCATTTGCACCAAGTAGGTGCTTCACAGAATGGTCATTCCTCACGGAGAAATTTTGCAGCAAATTAAAATACAGCACAGAATTTCCATTTCTCTTTGCCACACATTTTGAAAATTGTGGTTACATATGACTATCTGCACATATACATCAACAGCATTTGCCAACTCAATGGTATTTCTCTCAATCTGAAGCTTAAGGGTGGATCTGCCCATTACAATAAGAGTTAGGTAGCAACACTGTCTGACCTTGGAGTGACTCATGGTCCTTCTCTGTTGACTGGCCTCAGCAGAAAGGGTGATGCAAAATAAATGAATGGGTGAGTACATGGCAATAAGATGCGCATCGCGAACTCTGCTCTTCTGAATCCTATTCATTTTAAACTCATCTTCCTTAACTGTTCTAATGGCAAGTGCCCCAAATAAATTAAAATATAATAAAGAATTGATAACTAACCAAAGTTACATATTTATGATCTTTTATTCTTCTTTCTTTATTAACGGTGTAGAACATGCATTCCCATGGGATAAAGGTCCCCAAAGACATTCAGGTCCTAATCCCTGGAACCAGTGAATGTCATTTTATACAGTAACAGAGGCTTTGTAGATGTTATTAGGGATTTTGAGATGAACAGATTATCCTGGATTATCTGAGTAGATCCTAAGTATAATTAGTGTCCTTATAAAAGGGAGGCAGAACATGATTTGACACAGATGAAGGCAATGTAATGCTGAAACAAGACACTATACTGCTGGCTTTGAAAGACAGAGGAAGGGACCATGAGCCAATGAATACAAGAAATGCACTTCCAGAAGCTAGAAAAGGGTGAAAGCTGGAAGAGGAAACAGACACTACTTTAGCGCCTCCAGAGGGAGCATGGCCCTGCCAACACCTTGACCTTAGCCCAGTGATCTGCTGACTTCTGGCCTCAAGAAAATTGTAAGAGAATAAATATGTGTTGTTTTAAGCCACCAAATATGAAGTACATTGTTACAGCAGCCATTAGAAAATTAATACAGCCCCCAAGGGGTTGAAAACTGGTCCTCGGGCAAGTGAAAAAAATCTTAGCTATTACAATGGTTTGTGATTTTCCCAAGCTCATCCTTACCTACAAAATCTTATTCCTCAGTTTTTAATTTTGTGGCAATTAAGAAAAATGTCTTTAAAAGCTCCTTAAGAAGACGATAAGGAAAAACAGGTTTATAAAACAACATTTCATTGGCAAGTACCGCAAATAATAATGCAGGATTTTTATTACCCTCAAGGCCCAGTATCATTATCATTAACATTTGAGAGCAAGAAAGGTGTCATTATTCTGACAGGTTCTTTTATAACCTTCATTCTAACAATGAAGTTTTTACCATCCAGAAAAGGGTTGTTGGCCCTTTTTTGTACAGGTAGCCAAGTCTTACCTCATTGTTTAAAAACAATTGTGGGACTATTATTGCATGCCAAAGTCCAACAGGAAACACATTTTGATATTCTAGATTTCTTTAATGTAACGTAGGCAGTGAGGTTTTTGTATATTATGTTAGAGTCAGAAAAGATGTTTGGTTACAACTTTGCTTTTTAAAAAAATGTTTTACTGAAACCAAAACTCTAGCAGACTACTATTCCTAAATCTAAATATTTTTAATATAATCGAACAAGTGATAATGAGGAAACTAGTTAAGAAGGTAATCAGTATATAGTCCTTATGGGATGCAAAGCATTCTACTTTAATTCTAACTGAAAGTTCAAGTTTGGGTCTATTAATTGATCTAGTGTAATTAGTCAATAATATTTATTTTTAAAAATATCTTTGTTGATTAAGCATTAAAAAGTATAATTCAAGATGTATATCAAAATTCATTATATCACTAAACTAACTCATTAATTTGCTCTTCCTCCCTTGCTCACGTATGTTTCTTATAACCTTCAAGAAATTAAGTTCTTAGTTCATCGAAGTATCCCTGATTGTTAGAATAAGCTATAAATTTCCGTAGGAGAATTAAATGCCTGAACAGAATTTTAATAAGGCTAGACCTGCAAACTGGAATGTTCTTTGGAAATAGAGGTCAAGATGTAAAAAAAAAAAAAAAAAAAAAGATTAAAATTGGCCACTAAGCATTCCAGCTGAAATGCTGATCATGCATCACTATTCCTTCTACATAGTCTGCACAGGGAGCCAAACCTGAGCTTGGGGTGGGAGAAAAAGTTCAAGACTGAATTGAGCTATTTTTAGTTCGAGAATCAATATGTACAAAATGAAATGTGCACAGATCTTTATTCTCATATTCCAAGATGTAGAAAACTGATGTTTGACCCTATTCACAAGATGAGAAAGAGAAGAGAGGGAAGGGAGGTAGAGGTGGGATGAAGGAAGGGCAAGAAGAGAGAAAAGAAATCCATATGCATGCTAATATTTCATAAAAATCTAGGCTGCTTTCACTGTTTATTATTTTTAAACGATGAAAGATAATAGATAAAGAAACTTAATTGCCCTTAAAAAAGTAAAGAGATTATACAGGATAACTTTAAAAACAAACTTTTTCTTTTACAAATGTCAGCTTCAGAGTTGCCATTTCTACAGTATGCCCCAAGCGATGCTTTCTTGCCATTTCTAACTTTAGCTTGACCTTCCCTGCAGTTTCCCATTTAATTCTCCATTTGTCATTGGTTTAATGACTGGCTATCACACTGGAGGTTGATGTTACTATAATATCAGGCCAGAAGTTTGTGCCCCTTCTCATTGTCTAATGTAGAAAGAAAAGAGTCATAAACAAAAATGGTACTATTTTGAAGCTGTGTCCAAATGATGTCCAACATTTGAATGTTGGAAATATTTTTGAAGTTTTCCCCCCAAATGTTTGGAATTATGGTGATGTAGGTCCTTATTACCTCCCCAAAATAACTCCAAAAAAGCTAAAGATATTTTTGAATAAAGATCAACTGACATCATTTTGAGAACTATTCAAAAGCTATTGTGTTTTTTCTCATTGACAAATGTAATAACTTAACTTTCCAAATCATGGGGAGAAATATTTCCAGTCATTAAAAAGAGAAATGAAATGTATATGCTCCTTATTACAATGTATGCATTTTAATCAATAGCCACTGACTATGAGCATATGGGATTATGGCAGGCATCAAGATGATTTTACAGATGTGTATAATGCACATCCTCCATGCTTTAATGGAAATCTGACACTCCCCTGAGCACACTGTTTCCCCTGCAATTCTCTCAAGTGCTCACTTGGAAACGGGGTGAGTGCCCCTTTTGCACCACATGGCTGCTCTCAGAGCATTCCGCCCCCTCTTCTCTTAAAACTCCTCTGCTTTAAATCGCATGTCGTCGTAAGATCTTTTTAAAGCTGGCAAGTGTAAATTTTTTTGGAAACAAATTAACAGTAGCTTCCTCTGGGACAAGGTAGTGGCAGCAGGGTAGGCATAGACACTGTACACTGTTCACTACCAGCATTGTTACTGTCACCTACCAAATATCGACTCATTCCCCCGCACCTGTCTAAGGCTTTAGCTCCGGGCTCATTGTCAATATGTCCAGAATTTCTGGTCTTGATTCCTGGGTTCTCAATATGCACATAGATGATCTTGATTCCTGGAATTCCTCCTCTTGAGGGACTTTCCCCTCCTGCTTCACTGACTCAGTCTCATGCTCATATCTTAGTGACTCACTCTTCCAAGTTACCATCTCACTACTTCTCTCTCCTCAAATCCCCAACACCCCCATCTTCCCTCCCAGGGGCTGACCTTGCTTCCTGCTTCAGTGAGGAAACTGAAGCAGCCTGAAAAGGACTTTCAAAGACTCTTCATTCATACGTAGTGATGTACCGACATCTGCATACTTTTCCATACTGTAAATGAAACTTCCTTGCTCCTTTCTAAATGCAATCTGTCCATTTTTGCACCAGATCCCATTCCTCTCTTCCTCACTCAAGGATCCTCCTCAATCAAGGAAATCAATTGCTCTAGGCATTCTTCCCTCTTTCTACTTTAAGTTGAAGTTTCCCTCTCCACTGGTCACACCCATCAGCATTCACAGATGCTATTGTTTCTTCCGTCTTAAAAAAAAAAATCAAAACAACAAATTTT